CCTACTTAAATGATGATGGTACCTGTAATAAATGGAATATATTTGCTGAAATGGAGGCGAGGCTCAGTGACTAGAGGAGCTGGTAGAAGCGCTCCATAGCTGTAAGTTACTCCAGTAGCTGGTGGCAGCCAACTTGGCTAGAGCCATCGCCGGATCCCGGCTAGTGCTATCACCAGGAGCTAACACTAACGTTCCTCCTCTTCTCAGTGAGTGAGAGCGATGTTTTAGCCTGGCTACATTTTACAATGCTAATTGCAAATGTTAGCTGGGCTGCCGGGCTACTCACCTAACACAACCGTAACGCCTGACCCATTGATGGGACCGAGCCGCTAATAACTCAAGCTCCGGACATTAACCCATGCTCCAATTGTAACATTAAATTTAATTGAATTGACATAGTGACATGTGCTTAATGTTACTGTAACACTAATTAAAACAGACATTTGGCTTTATGTTGTACCTGTACAGGAGAAGAAGAGCTAGCTCTGAGTCAGATTGTAGCCCCTTTAGCTCTTGCAGTGCTCTCAACCTTGGAAATGCAAGGCCAATGTTAATCCGGCTTCTGTCCCTTTCTTTATCAGACAACTTGTTCGCCAACAACCGTTGTTTCTTTAGAGGTAATGTCAGATCCTGGTCGTCTTCAGGTGAACATTTCGTTCCGCTCTCTGCCATTTCGCTTTGAATATACGCACTGCCATTGCTAACTGGCTGTAGCCTTTTATAGGGAGGGAGGGCCAAGGGCTCCAAGAGGAGGGAGGAGGCGGCGATTCACATGAACGTACATGAACGTACAGCCGGACAGGCTTGTAAACAATGAGCTGGAGATAAACACAGAGAGAGGGTGTGTGACGTCATGCTATACTCCAAATGAACTTACACCTCTAGTTCTTCACATAATAATTTTTTAATTCCTTCAGTCTAGAAATGATGAATTTCCACTTATTGCCCCTTTAATAAACACAACACAACCAACAAAATATCAACGTCATCTGTTGTCAGTTTTCAACGTGAAATTTACCTTGGCTTTAGACGTTGTCCTGACATTGAATTTTAGTCACCTGACGTCACATCCCAATCCAGCCAGCTGGGCAGTTAAATATTTCAACATTCATGGTTTCCAGATGGTTTATCCAGCACCCCCTTGAGCTTAACTTTAGTGGCTTTGAGCGAATTATCTCAAGACAATTGGCTGTATTGCCGTGAAATTTAGTGCAAACATTCATATCCCCACCAGGTTGAGTTGTAATGACTTTTGTGATCCCGTAACTTCTCGCCTTGCGCCATGATCAGCTCATATTCTCAACACTTTAAAAAACTAATCACACACCCAGCCTCAGTTGTATTTTGTGTTAAGTGCTAGTATCAAATGTTAGCAAACACGCTAAACAGTTCTCTTGTATTGTAGATGTACTGTGACTCCAGCTCGCCCTTTCAAAATCATTCTTTACATCCCCTCATATCTTAGGTAATTTAACAAAGACATGAGGCATGATGCTGTTTCAAGTTCTGGTAGATAATTTTACTCAAGTCTGTCCTTTCTGTTATATCAGCAAGACACAAGAAAAGCAAACCCATTCTCACTCTTAGGTCTTCAAGTTCTGATGCTTTGTCATGCCCCCACAGGATCTGATACTGATGCACAGGGCACCCTTTAGCATCTGTATGAGACGCACAATTGTTTCCTGGGAAAACATGTTGTAAGACATGGTTACCGTTGCGAAATGGTCGGGGATACATTTAGGCAATAAGTCCACTGTCAGTTCAGAGAGGGACCTAAATGCAGAACATGAGGAAGGCAGGATGATGGGAAGAAAGCAAGCTTTAATGGCACGCTGGTTCCAGAGAACTAAAACAAAACCTTAAGAAATTGTCTAACGAAATCCCAGTACAGGGCAAAATACAAAACTAAACTAGGAACAAATGAGGATGACCTAAGAAATACTAGGGACAAAGAACACCAGCAACACATGCAAACAGTCTGACACTGAAACAGGGAAAACACTGATAAATACACAGAGGGAGGAGGGTGTTAACGAGGGACAGGTGAAACAAATCAGGACGAGGCAGATGATCACAAAGGCAGGGGGTAAAACAAGGCATGACGCATGAGGAAAGACCTTTAAAAGAAAATGGGGGAACAAACAGTGACAAAAAGCCCAGGATCATGAAAACTAGGTTCAGATTAGGGTCATGGTTTGCATCAAAATTATGTTTGTTACAGGGTTATGCTCAGACATAATGTAACGTGATGCACAACCCTGATTCCAACAAAGCTGGGACGCTGTATTAAGTGTTACTAAAAACAGAATGCAGTGATTTTGAATCCTTTCTGACATACAGTGGAAGAACTAAGTATTCAACATGTTAATTTTTTTTCATGACACGTTTCCAATGCAGCTACTCACATGAAATTTAGACCAGATGTTGCTGCATTAAAACTACACTGATAAAGAAACATTTCACTTCATGAAATGAAATGAACACACTAACTGGAATTTATTTAATACTTAGACAGGCCGTTGTTTGCAGTGCCAGCTTCAAGACGCTCCTGCACGAAGAACACGTCTCACTGTGTTCAGACTGTGGCCCGTTGTTCCACACAGACACAGTCTTTAGGTTTTGAAGATTTTTGGGAGCCCACTGGTGAATGTTGAGAAAGAAATTTCATCTTCAAAACTTCAACAATTAGTGTCTTCAGTTCCCAAACGCTTTCTGAGAGTTGTCTAAAGAAAAAGTGATGTAACACAGTGGTAAACTTCCCCTGTCCCAACTTTTTTGGATTGTGCTGCAGGCATCAAATTTAGAGTTTACATTTACAAAAACAATAAAGTTTGCCAGTTTGTAGATTGAATATCTATTGAATATACAGCCTCCTGAGACCTGAAATTTTGTTTGGTATGCATTTCTCCTAGCTATTTGGGATCAGTAGGACCTGATAAGTATAAAGAAACTAAACAAAAAATGTTTTGAAATTTTGCATAATTGTCCACACAAGGTCAAGGTCACTGTGACTCCATCTGTCTTGTTCTTATGAAAAGCAATATCTCAAAAATGCCTTGAGGGAATTTCTTCAAATTTGGTGAACTGAGATTTTGGTAGGTGGAAAGTCAAATGTCTCTGTGACCTCACTAAATTTCACTTTATATATCCAAAAGGTTGATGGTCAATGTCACTGTGACATCATAATGTTCTGCAAAACACTCTTTTCTTCTAAGCTGCCTGGTTGAAGATGTGTGTGTGAAACATCCGTGTTTTCACAGACATGGATGCAAAGTAGAAGTGAAACTTGACTGGTGCATGGAGACGTACAACCGCAAGACAGTAATTGATTTTTTTTTTTTTTTTTTTTGTGAATGTAAGGTGGCAGAGTGAATAAAAAGCATCAAAATAGAGGCCACTAACGTCCTCAAATCCCAGAAACACCCTTGAGCACACCTAGTCTCTGCTGGCTGCTGCAACTGGATTTGCCTTTTGGCAAAGATGAGAAAGGACAGCAAACATCAAAAGGTTGAAACAGGCAATTGAGTTATTATACTGAAAAATGTTGGTATTTTTTTTTAATAACTGACCCCTGGTCACCTGTCACTTTGCAAAAGTGAACCATGGGCAAATCACGTTGATTATCCCTGCTGTCGACTAATATTTAATGCATGTATGATATCACATCATCCACATAGAATCAACATTACAGTAAATCAGAGGCCAACAGAAATTATTTATAAAGGCCAACAAATTATAATTGGAGAAAAGTAGCGCTGCCCCCAACTAAGAATTTTCCTAGTCAACCAATAGTCTTCATTTAGGGTCATTAGTCGACTAGTCGCCCACATGTTTACGATAAAATTTAATTATTTGATTATATATTTTGGGCGGGGCAACACAATGGTTTGAGTTGAAGGTGTGAGAAAGAATAGTATCAGTAACATTGTTAACACTGTGCTACATTACAATGTAGACATATTTTATCTACAAGTGCAAGTCACACACTGAGCGAGCTGCCTGTTAACGGGCATGTAGCTACTTCCATGTTTCAGATGATACGTCATGTTTGTAGTCGACCAATGAAGATGAGTTTACATATCACCTTGGGTTCGCCCTTCACCTTCTCAAAATGATCCCACACTTTGGATTTCCTGCCCGACATGTTATTAACTAGCCTGTGGAATAACCGCAGGTACCAGCCCTGGAAATTAGGGGCTGGTACCTAGGTTGGTACCTTTTTTTTCTGCAACTAAACGACCAATGAAATATTGCGGACTAATGACCTTTCTGGTCGACTCACGCTTGGTCGACTATAAGGGGGCAGTCCTAACAAAGACAGAGACAGAGACAAAGTAAGATAGGGCTAACCATCTTTTTTTATTTTCATTAAAACTACAACACAGAAAAGAAAGGAGAAAGCATAAGAGGGTCTCCAGAAACAGATTCCCACCTCCCCTCTGTGTTTCATGTTCTTGTTTTTCTACACTGTAGAAAGCCACCTCCCGCACTAACACTCTACCATTCACATATGCACACACACATATAGTCTAAAAGGCATAGAGACACTTGTATTAGCTGCATGACTGTCCCCCCATGTGTGCGTGTGTGTGCGTGTTGGGTGTGTGTCACTATTGGCTGCCAACTTTTTTGTTTTTTACACATTTTCTCTTCTGAAGATTTTGCTGAAATAAATAATCGCTTTTGATCTTTTTTTTTTTCACTCTTGTACACTGTGGTTTTGTCAGCTGTTCTGTGCTGTACAGTTTTTCTTTGTTTTATTGTCTGTCAGTGTCGGGACAGACAAGAGAAGCAGACAGAACAGAGCAGGTAGATAGATGAACTGGCCCTGCACACAGTTGGTAGCAGAGTGTGAGAGATCATACAGAGAAAAAAAAAAAAAAAAAAGAAAAGAAAAGGGTCAACTTCTTACCACTAACCCAGGCAGCCTGGAGAAGAGGTCAGAGCTCACCACGGATGCAGCAGCAACCTCACTCTGCGTTTTCTCCTCCTTTCTGCAGCGATGACCTTTCTCCAGAATCGTCTATGGGGGAAGGGAAGGGAGGAGAGGGGGAGCTGCAGAGTGAGGTCGAGTCACAACCGCAACCCGAGCAACAGCAGCAAGAGACACAGCCACAGACTCAGCCACCACAGCCACAACCCCAATCTGAGCCCCAACCACAGCCCCAGCCTGAAACCAAACCTCAACCAGAACCAGAACCAGAACCCGAACCAAAACCCCAGCCTGCCCCAGAGCCTGAGCCGCAGCCCGAAGCCGAGGCTCCGAGCGGGGAAGCGCCACAGGAAGCCCCTAAAGCCCCTTCCCCTTGCAGAGAGGAGCCGACAGTGGCGGAGCAAGAGAAGGAAACGTTGGAAGAAGCTGTGGAGGCGAAGACAAAGCAAGAGGGAGAGGAGGCACAGGCCGAGCGGCATGAGGGCGAGGCAGCACAGGAAGAAGAGGAGGAGGAGGAGCAGGAGGAGGAAGAAGGGGGAGGAGCAAAAGGAGGTGGGGCGGGGAGGAGAGCCAGCCTGCATCACACGGCCTCGCCCTTGAGGGTGCAGCGCAACGGGGCCGGCTCGCACTCCACCACCTCCGACTATGAGCTCTCGCTTGACCTCAAAAATAAGCAGGTAGGGTTGTGTTGGGGACGGGGGAGGGGTGAGGGTTGGTGTGTTGTTTGGGTGAGGGGAGCGGGAGGGCGGCAGGTACAGTAACGTGTGTATTGTACGTCTTGTGGTCTGACATGTTTGTGATGTTTCTGTCTGAGGAGGAGGACTTGCGGTTTGGGGGAGAAGCTGCTGCTTGATTTTTATTTTTGTCGTACCGATCTCTATCGGCACGTCTAGACTGTCCAAACTGTACCAACTAATGATGAGCTTCCTTTTCTTCATTGTCATGAACCATCATTGCCATCGCCATGTCATCATTTCATCAGCATCCTCACATGGTTCGTCTTTCACCAAATTTGGATTGTGAAAGTGTGTTATTTGAAAGTACTTCCCAGGTGTTTTACTGCTGTGTTGTAGAGTTTCTAGGTTTTACAGACTGTATTTTCTGGCATTAATGCACGCGCACACGCACACACACACACACACACACATCAGGGTAAAATAAAGACACTGTGCAAACAAGTTGTATCTGCATGAATGAAAAGCCTTTTAATTTGTCTCTTCTCTGCTGTTCTCTGAGATCCTCTGGATGACGAAAAAGCCCCCATTTCCATGGAGAATAAAGCATGTGACTGTTATCTGTTCTCATCTTGTTGCAGCCAGTTAAACCGATTTTGTGTGAGACCGATTTGTCTACGAACTGTGACTGTATTTAACATGCGTTTCCATGTTCTCATGTTTGTGTTCTTATCATGCTGTTCATCAGAGGGCTTGGAAATCATTACATTATCATCTCCATTTCAAGAACCATCAAACATTCGCCATCCGTTTCTCATAATCATCCATCAAACCAACATTCTTCAGTCCATGGATCTGCAACCAGGTAAGGCAGCAGAGTTTGGGTCTGACTCCCAGTGTGCTTCTGAACAGTTGTCTATAACTTAGTTTTCCTTAGATTTCCATGTGCAGTATTATATTTGGCAGTATGGCTCTGTTCTGGGGCCACTCTGCCCTTCCATGCGCCTACATGGAAAGCCTAAGGCAGGGAGAGCAGCAGCAAAGACCCCAAAAAAACAAAACAGAGCAGCATCAATGACAAACAGAAATGACAATGAAAAGTCAGACACAGCAAGAAAAGGAGGAGCTGGGGTGGAGGCAGGTTGCAAAGCGGCTTGCAGAGGAAGCAGCAACAGTAGGCAGGTCAGAGCAGTTTAAATAGGGCACCATGAATGAGATTCACCAGTTGGTTGCATAGAAAGGAATCATGTGATCTATCAGCTGACTCCCTTCCATCAATCAGCTGCTCCATCAGTTGATTGGGCTGTTGTCAGCTGATGTAGCTGGGATGTGAGCTGAGCTTGACATCGTGTCCTGCCTGAACTTTGTATTTTTATTTTCGACTAATAGTTTAAAGGAGCACTCCGTCTATTTGACACATGAATTTCAGTTTATTCATCACAAGATGTGCCACATGACAGCCTGTCAAAACATAATGTCTTATGCGACTCAGAGAGGGAGCTTTACAATCTTTGAAGAAATAACCCTGATGATGTCATGATGTCATAATGATGTCATCAGGGTTATCTCGGCCTGGGTTAAGACACATTTCTATCATTGCACGGTATATACTGTAATATCGCCAAACCCCATTGGAAGACTTGAGCTCTTGGGAATTGGGATTTGCATTTTATTTTCTATTTTCTGACAGTTAATTGGCCAAATAGTCACTGTCAGATAATCTGACATGAAACAATGTGCAAGGTACCCTGGGTGCGTTGCTTGTTGATGTTCTGGGACACCATGTCACAGTCTCTTTTGAAAAAAAAAATGCCTGGTTGGGTTTAGGCAACAAAAGGAAGTGGTCAGGTTTAGGAAAAAAGAGCAGGGTTTGGTTTTAGAATCTTACGGGTTGCGAACACCGATCTGTCGGGTGAAAGTCAGTGTTTGTTTGACCCTTCCACCGCCCCACTTAGACTTTCGCAGCCTTAACTTTCGTCCTTGTCCCCCCACGTTTCCCCCTGACATCGCTGGGGACCTTAAAACTATAATGGCAGCCAGCTGTGTGTCATGACGAAGCTAAGGGACACCTTTTTCATTGCTTTCTGATACTGCAAGTCACTGCCCAAGCACTGGAATTTCGACGACATCAGAGTAGGACCATGCGCACATAACAGTTGCAGATTAGGCATGTTTTTTGTCAGTTTTTTTAAAAATGTTTTTTGGGTTAATTGGTTTCTTTATGAGGCACAAAGGTTGTTGACCTCCTTCCCTTAAGAGTGTTTTCCATTACTGTCACTGTAATTGTGGTGTGGCACAATCGACCCCACTTCATCAACAAACCAGAACAATCAGTAAACATGGTCGCTCTTGTGCTAACTGTTTCTCAGCCTCAGCGCAGCATCCATAGACTGAGAATAAATCTATCCAGAGGTGAAACTGTCAGTGTGGTTTGGATTGTGTCCTTCTGTGTCAGTATCTGTGTAAATTCAGTGGGTGAAAAGAAAACACACCAAATTGCGAGATGAGCCACCAAAGCATTATGATCAATCCAGGAGACTTGCCACTGAAACAAATGTATCCGAGTGAGATGGTTGCTTAATTTCACTCTCCGTCAGCTCCATTTCCACTCGTTTTGACTTCATTTCCTCACTCATCACTTCTCTGTTCGAGACTAAAGGTTCTTTTAACCTCGGCTCCTAACCCGTGTCTCCTTCTCACCTCCATCCTCACTCCTTTAATCTCACATCTCCCCCACTATCTCCCTGTCAACAATGCTGGAGATACGCGATCAGCTAGATTGATCTTCTGCCTGTACAGCTGGGGCTGCAGGGGCTTGATGCATCGACAGATCAATGTCAGTGTAATTGGATCCGCGGGGCGATACCTTGATTGCAGGGGAGGAACCTCATGACGAAGTATTTGAGCTTTAACTCACTTTAACCTGAGCATTCAACCTTGAGTTAAACTTTTGCTATTTTTTTCAAACTGGTTTAAATTTAGAATCTCATTGACTTTTAATGTATGCCTTACAGCAGAGAGCTGGTAAATTAGCATGTTATTTTCAAGCCCTGGGCAATTTTTTTAATTACATTAATATGCATTTCTTTAAGTTTTCTTCATCATTTTTATTGAGATAAACAAACAATAAATTGTACCATACAATAACCACAAATAAAGGACATATTTTATGGTTTACAGAAGAAAAGGTAACAACTCTAAGCTGGAGGAAGTTACAACTCATATAAAGACTTTTAAAAATATTAATAGTAATTATATAGTAATATTATTTTACAGCATTAGATTTAATAGCAAAACAACTGGTGCCAGTGTTCATCAGTGTTGATAAAAACATTAAAGTTCTTCCAAAATAGTCTCACAAAAGGGCAGCACCAAAACAAATAATGTCAGAACAAAATGTCCATTTTATGTCAATATCTGTCCTTGTTGAAGTGAACATTAAGTAACTTATCCTATGGAAAAGAGTTAAATCTTAAATCACCATAAGGAATGATCAAAAGAATGAAAGAAAAGAAAAACAATGGACAGTTTTTAGGGGATATGTATTTTTTTCTGGCGTACCAAAACTGACACATTTATGTCAAAGTTGAGACAAAAATCTTGCAATGTTCGTATGATATCTAACAAATTAACACCTAATGAATGGCGCTGTCATGTGACATAATTAACGTAAAGTTACGTACTTAATGTAAAGTTACGTAGGTTAGGTTTAGGGAAAGAAATATGGTGATGACGTACGCTAAAATAAGTCAAAGTTTACTTGGTTTCACAGAGGAAATGAACAGTAGTCTCCTGGGTGAAAGTCGTGTGTTTGTTTGATCCATCCACCACCGAAACATGCCTCCTTATGTGGACTTTCGCTCTTTATGCTATTTCCTTCTTTACTCCCATCAGCACATTGGTCACTGCAGCTTTCCAGATTACATAAATTATATTTGAGCCTGAATCCTATCAGCCCCTGTCTACATTTTATGTGAATTTGGTGGAAACTGAATACATTCAAAGCGAAAGATTTATGCACATAAATGTACAGAGTCAAGTGGGAAAAAGACGAGAGACCTGAGGTAAATAAATTAGAGTTTTCGGTGAGGTCCTCAGTTCAGTCAGAGCCTGAGCTGATTTGATGCATCACTTTCTAGCTAGCTAGCTAGCTAGCTAATGTAGAAATGGTACGTTAGCTTTTTGGGGGTGAATAAACACAAACAGTCTAGTAGTCAAATTCAAACAAATTACTTAAGTTTGCTGCACTTTTAGCCAAAACACACCTTTAATCTGTTATTCCACCAGTTTTCCAACTCACTGCCTTGACTTTAGCTTTTAGCGTTAGCAGACCATGATGAGGAAGAAGTGATCCCTGGCAAAACTAAAATACTGCTAAACGTATCAGTCCACAAACTCACCAGTTCAAAGCTTGTTAGTCTTAACATCAACTGGATTGTTAAACTGATGTACAATATAAATCTTTACAAAAATAAATGCCGGTCTTTCATACAATACAATAATCTGAATCCATTTTAAAGGTCCAGTGTGTAGGATTTAGGGGCATCTAGTGGTGAGATTACAGAACAACAGCCAACAATGCCAACAGTGTAGGAGAACTACAGCACTACATTGAACTACCAATGTGAAAATGAAAAAAACACAAAAACACAAATGGCCCTATCTGGAGCAATGTTTGGTTTGTCCGTTCTGGGCTACTGTAGAACAACAAGGTGGATCTGCGCTGTACATAGATCTAAATGGTTCATTGTAAAGTAACAAAAACACAATGATTCTTAGTTTCAGGTGATTATACACTGTTGAAAACATAGTTATGAATATTATATACATTTTCTGCCCCTAAATCCAACAGACTGGACCTTTAAATTGTTTCAAGTGACCCAGTGTTTCTCTGACTCATTAGCTCTGAGTCTATTTAAACTACCTCAGCCAAAAGCCTTTCCTGTTTATACAGCACTGACAAATTTACTTAAAAGTTGCTCATCAAACAGAGAGATCTTGGA